AATGGTGGGGCACACATCATTACGTTCACAGAAAGCTCTTCTTACACGCTATTGCAACAGCTTAAAGGGTATCATTGACGGGTGCAAGCACTTGGACGCGATAAATCCTTCAACCCTAGTTGATTCAGACTTGGTCTTGAAAGTTGAGTCCTCAGTATTTCAACTGCGGGCTGCGGCAAAACAGGTGGAGGATGCGCTGTCAGCATTTACAGCATTAGTGGACTCACTGGAAGGACCGCTCTCAGAGGAACAGGAAATCCAAACGCAGGAATACGTGGAAAAGACGCATGAAGCTTTGGATTCAGCACTCGCGCTAGCCATTAGACTAGAGGGCAACTTAATAGCCGCGAGGAGTTGCACACAATTGGACAACCATGGATCCAACGGTGAAGCCCCTGCGCCGGAACTGCTGGAGATGACTAGGTCGAAGCTCCCCACCGTACCAGTTCCAACTTTCTCAGGAAAACTGGTAGAATTTGAGAACTTCTGGGCGCTCTTTGATGCGAACATCCATAGTCAACCCCTATCACCGCTTCTCAAATTCAATTACCTCATTAATGCGCTGCATGGTGAAGCACAAGAATGTGTGCGAAGGTTTACCGTCACCGCAGACAACTACGCACATGCAGTTCAATTTCTTCGCGCCATGTATGGGGACGAAACTAAGCTGTTAGATCATTTACAACTGCGCTTAGAGAGAGCTCAGGCAGAAAGTCCAACCCTTGAGGGACAACGAAGTCTCCTCAAGTATATATGGCCCACTGTGACCCAGTTGGAGAAACGAGGCGTTTCACTCAACGGGTCGTTCATAACTCGAAAGATACTATCCAAATTCCAACCGGAAATCCAACGGAAAGTCCTCGAACATCGCTTGAAGAGCTCAACGACTGAGCGCACATGGATCATGCAGGACTTACTGAAGGACTTGGATCAGGTAATAGAAACTGAGGAACAAATAAGATACATGATGCGGAGAACCAACAACTCCAACCACACAGGTATAAAAGGTGGTGGTGCCGAAAATGGAACCAAGCATGCGCAGAAAGGAAACACATTCTGTATTTTCTGCGCCAGTAGTGACCACAAATCCCTTTTATGCACCAAATACGCGTCACCTGAAGATAGGAAGAGGGTCTTCCTGGACCAAGGTAGGTGCCTGAATTGCGGCACCCCAGGCCATTTCACAAAAGCTTGCACTAAGGAAGGGTGCAGATTATGTGATGGCAAGAAGCACCACCATACATTGTGCCCGGCAAAGATGAAGTCATCTTACATGCCACAAATGCGACCAGAATATCGCAAGAAGGAGTTTAACACAATTCCAACTGTAACGGATGCGCAGAAGCGCAACAGTCACAGTGGCACAGGGAGGCCACAATCCAAGTAATCAGCCACCGCACAGGCACATACGGTGGACGCCGAGGAAGGCGCATATACATGGAATGAGACACTGAAGAGTGACCATGGTGACAACCTAATTGCTCTTCTCTCTACAGTCAGGAATCAGGGTATTCCACCGGGGAACGAAACAGTTAGCTC